TCGTTTACTGACTACAACACCGCTGCCCTTGCTCTTATCTCACCTCTCCAGTTCTTGTACTCCGGGACATAGTAGTATTTGTTCCCGAACTGGTCTGTGCCCACTTGCTCCTTCACTTCCTTCGACAGCGCTCTCCACAAGGAGCGGAACAAACTCTGAGACCCACTCATGCCGGTGGCTCAGGTCCCAGCGCGATTAGCAGCCGGATCCGCGGCAACTGAAACAGGAACGCCCCAGAGGCCGACCCGCCTACCGGCCCAAATGAGTCCCATCCACCTCCTCGCTCACGCCCTTCCAGTAACGACGCTCACCATTGGTCATATGATATCATCTCTCTACCAATGAGAGACTCTGTTGCTACAGCCCCGCCTCCGAGCTTTGTCATGGCGGCGTCCAGTGCCTTATCTGCCGTAAAGGAACGGGATGCTGGGTTTTTTGTCCGCGCGGCAAGCAGGATTGGACGACCCTCTTCGCCTACGAAGAGCGGAGTCCACACGAAGGTATAGAAAACCTTACTCTTTTCTCTAACAGGCCTGTTAAAAAATTGGGACCAATGACTGTGAGCCTTGCCTCACACTTTCCCGCCTCATTATCACTTTCCTCCCACCAGACTCAGCTTTACTCTTCTTTTAGAGCATGTACCAAAATTCCTAGTATGTATGTGTATGTACCTAGCATGTACCAAAATTCAGGACTCTCAGAAGGAAAGCAGGTATTTAACATAAAACACATTGTTTACTCCAAATAGTTTGGGCACAGTGAACCATTCTTATCCAGGATGGATAACCTCTCCCAATACCCTTGATGAGAACCCTTCTGAAATCTCAGAAACCAGGCAAGGCCAAGTCTTGCAAACTGGCCTTTCCAAGGATGGCAGTCTCAGGCGTGCTATGTTAACTTTTTTTTTTTGTACACCTTGCCTCCTACAGAAACTCCATTCCTGTTTCCCTATCTTATTACCCTTTTCTTTTCCTTCATGTTAACCCCTCCTAGTTCCCAAACCAATTCAGTCCTAAAGTGTTTAGTTTGGGCAGAGGTAAGCTTCCAAACACAGGCAGGTTTTAGGTAGGCCTAGAGTGATATTTCAGAGCCTGAGTAGGCTGAGGAGGTAATCTAATTGTGGAGACTGACGAGCTCAGGTGATAAAAGTATTGGAGGGGGCAGAAATCAAAGCCCAAGCCTGGTGAGCAGCATCTTTGTTGGGGGAAGGAATGGTAGTGGTGATGAGAGATTAGTTATACAGGGAGATTGGTATGGTAGTGGTGATGAGAGATTAGTTATACAGGGAGATTGGTCAAATAAATAAGTACATTAATGATAATGGGAGCTATGTTTCTCACTGATAGAATGCTCAAAGGGATGATTACCTTTGCACGTTTGTATGATATCGTACTTGTTACAAGAAGCACATATGACTTATAATTTGAATAATTATCAAATAGAAATATTTTAAGAAGAAATGCAAATTTCAGTTGGAAAAAATGAAAAATTTTCTGGTGAAATATCGAAGTTCAGAAATGTCAGGACAGCATCAAGAGCTGGAGTAAAAAATGTCAGAGTTCAGATGCAGTTTAGCTAATTGTTTTATGAATGACCTTGGTCAAATTACTTATGTCTTAGTTTTATAATCAAGAAAAGCAATTAGTAATACAACCTACCATCTAGGAAATCTACCATTTAGGATTACCACTGATGAAAATGTCAGCAAATACTAGACTCTTAATATTGAATGTTATTGTTATTGATCAAGATCATAGAGGTAGTAAATGTTAGCCTGGATATTTGAACCTAAAGCCAAACTGTCTTCTAGAAGTCAAAGGACTTGTATATCTTTAAATCAAACACTTGATACTGCTAAAATGATTTCCAAAGTGCTCTTTAATTATTAGTACTGCTACTGTCAGTGTGTAAATGTATCAGTTTGTACCTTTTCGAGGACTGTGCATTGTTATTTTTAAAAAACATAATTTGATAGACTAAAATTTTTCATATAAATTAGCATCATATCGATCAACTGAATTTAGAAATCATTCTGGTTAAATTAATGTAAATTCTTTTTAACATGTAGCAGATTAAAACAAATTTTAATAGTCGACATTCACTAGGCACTTACTGTGTCTAGACATTGTAATGAGCACTTTTTATGTATTAATTCATTTAATCTTAATATCCACACCAGAATAATGATGGTTCACAGTAATGGAATAACAGACATTTTATTCATCTTAATTTGTGAGAATACTTCTTAATAATTTTTACCTATAAATAATTAATTGGTTTTATTTAAATGTGCCTAATTGTTTAATTGAGCATACTAATTCTGTATTTACACCTAAGACATAAGAAATAGTCCTAGGAATTTTTAAAATATACTGTAATTCAAGTTGTTATCCTCTAGGTGTCCTCAGTTAAATTTAAGTTATCAGAACTTAACAAATCATGAAAATTTTTCAGTCTCTAAATACCTTAATAACAACTTAATAAAATACACTATATGAAGTTTAAGATAATGCTTCAGGAGAAATTCTTCACATGTAATTATTAGTACTGTTGATATTTTAAAAATTTGTATAAGGCCTTTAAAAATCTATAAATCCCTTTGGATGTGTAGTAGAAAGAGATTTAAGCATTACTTACGATTTTTGTGCTATCTGTAATCTTGGTAAGATAAGGACATTTTTTTATGTTTAAATTGCTCTCTTATTGTTTAGTTTTATCTGTGTCCCCCATTTAATTTTTTTGTTTTCTTAAAGGGTTTTAGGACTAGAATTAAACAAAGACAGAGATGTTGAAAGGATCCATGGCAATGGAGTTAACACCCTTGACATTGAACCTGTTCAAGGGAGATAGTAAGTTTTTTATTCTTATACATTTTTCTTCCTAAGTGGGATGCAGTCAAATCTTGCTTTCAGATTAATTTTGTAAAGGTTCGTAAATATTATTAAAAATTCTAAATGGTGGCATTTTTGATCTGGTATTACTAATTTCAAATAAATACAAAACTTCAGTCCTTCAAAATATTGCCAGATAAACATTTCTAAACTACTTTAACATAAATATATTTATTGTTAAGTTAACAAATATTGAACTTCTTTTGGATGTGAGGCTTTTAAGGGCTGGGGTGTGAAACCGTAGATGCTATTTTAAAACATAGTTGTGGCTCTCAAGGAGTCTAATTTAGAAAACAAATATTAAAAAGCAAAAGTATGTTTTAGAGATTTAAGTTTGAAGCACACCAGACTTGTATTTGCATTCCTCCTGGTTTTACCACTTATCCATGTAACTACGAGCAATTTGCCTAACTTTTCTAATTCTCAGTTGCCTTAGCTATACAATGGGAACAGTAAAACCTAACAAGTTTGTTGTGAAGATTCATGGATATTATGTATATAACACGATTAGCATAGGACCTGACATATCACAAATTGTTGCCAGTTTTCCTATTAGTCAAAAGCATTATCACTTATATTTTTACTTCTTTCAGTCCATTCTCTAGATGATAGCTGAAGTGTTTTGAAAAATGCAAATCTTAACAAACCATCTCCCCACTTAAACTCATCTTGACCCTTACGTGACTCTTAAAAGAAGGTTCAAAACTCTTCATGTAGTCTGTTAATTAGAACAAGTATAAAAATAACTACAGAAAAAATTTATCATGTCGTATTATGTTTAGCATTTGCCCCACAATTTTTATATTATAATGAAGAATTAATATTACTATTATTATTACCTACATTTTAATAAGCCAGGAAAGATTTAATAGAATTCCATTTTTTATTTCCGGCTTCATGTTCTCACCTAGTATTATATGAGAAAAAGGAATAGTGAAGAAATTCTCATTTCAGTACATGGTTAAATCTAAAAGATGACCAGCGATAATTCTTTTCTTTTTCCTGACCTTTTCCAGGCTTAGCATATATCTCCCATTCAAGGATAGCTGTGGGACATTTGCTTATAAAGTAATGCAGACATGAACAGCAATGAACAACTGATTTTTTTGGTCTTGGGTGCAGGTGGAAAAAATATTTAGTACTGCTTCTCCAACAAGTCATTTGGGATAGTAATCAGTTGTTTGACCTATGAAGTACATGAAGGCAGTAGGCTGCCAGTTATCAGAGTCAATGAGAAATGTGGGAAATTATTGGTTATATATGCCTGAAATATGCAGAGCATATTTGCAGAGCATATAGAGAAAAGTCAAGATTCTTGCTCCAATGGTTTCCTCCATTATTGCATGGTAAAAATCTATAATTATTTATTTCATTGTTTGCTAAGACTCGAATTTTGCATTAAACCTTTTTGGCAGCAAAGAGAGAAATAAATAGAAAAATATATGTTTAATGGAAAATTATATACTAATTTTCTTGAGGAAATCAGTGTACATGAAACTGGCTCAAAATACTTGTTGATAGTTACCAACTGCTATGACAGCTAATGATATCACTGAAAACCAGAATGAAAATCAGAATACAGAAATCTGGTAAAGAAGCATTAATTTCCAAAGTTAGGAGTTATTTTAAGAAGTCTACCTGAAAATAACATTTTAACAGGTGCAACTGCAAAGGGTGCATTTGCATATCGTTCTGTAAATCTTGACTTTTATACCTTCTCAATTCTCCTAAATTAATTTCATTCATCTCTAATATCAGCTTATTTTGTCCATATAAAAACGGGAAGCCATATCTCTTACTATATTTACTCTATTACAGAATAATAATCTCACGATTAAATAAAGTCAGTGCCATCATATACTTCAAATAGTCAGTTAACTCCAATAATGGTTCAGTTTTTCACCCAATTAATGGAATCAAAAGTAGTCATTCTAGCAAAGATGAAACATCTGGCATTATTGAAAATACCATTTAAATTCAGTTTAAAAGTTCAACTTTGAAAATATTTGTTTTTGTTTTGATAATACATGTAGTGCCATGGTAAAAAAAAGTATTTCACAGAGTTCAAATATGAAGTATAAATGTTTTTAGAATTGGTTATGGTACACATGTAACTCACATCTGTGTCCAAACAAAATGCAACATTTAGCAACTGAAATAAAAGTTGTAATTGTTAAAATTTACACATATTTCTTTATATACACAGAGTAATAGAACTGCAAAATTTTTATAATGAAGCTAATGTTAAATATAAAAAAAGAAACTTTAATGTGGCATTACTTGCTGGCTTTACTGCCCATTTTCAGTTAGACTTTAGAACTGTTTGAGGAAAGAACTTTGAAGAACTACCTTTAAATTAGCCTAATTGTTCTACAAATTAACATTGAATTTTTCTTAAAACACATCTATAAATCAGTGCTACTTGGATATGCTGCTAGTTCATGAACCCTTTGTAACTGGTTCACAGTGAGATAAGTAGTTACTTCGTCATTAAGCATACAATTTAGAAGATTTGAGATTTGTAGCAAGACTTTCTCAGTGAAGAAAGAAGTATATTCATTTCTGGTACAAGCTCCTTATCTTGTCATAGACGGGCACTTTAAACAGCAAAGAAACTAAAGATGGCAAGATCAAAACCAGTGTATAACATTTATAACAAATATAAGCGATGAAGTATCCTCACCAACCACAAAATATGGCTGAGTGGAAATAAAACTACTAATTGCTAGAGCTGTGTGGTATCAGCATCTATATCAGGCATGACAGTAAAAAGCAATGGGGCATCTAATAGACCTAATAACTCCAAAATAACTGACAGTCGAAAGCTCAGCAAACCAATTTGACAATAGCAGCTGAAACTGGGAGAGAATTTCGGAGTTGTTCAAGGAGTTCACAGAAAGACCTGTGGGACTGGAGTAGTCTGGGCCCTATAATCTCTCCACTCATTAGCTAAAGATCCCCTGTAGGACAGAACCCTACACTGAGGGGGAACTGGTTTAAATAGAATCCAAATTAAGCAGCTAAGAGACAATAGAACAAAGGAAATAGATGGCCCAGATAAAAATTAGAAAGGTAAACAGAACCAAGAAATCTCTGAAGGTAAGCTGCTACGTTTGAACATCTTACAAAAGAAGAGAGCAAGAGAATATCCCAGAGATATAAAACTAAAATATTCTAATTTGTCTCCCAAATGTTTAAGAAAATGAATTTTACATAAAAATGAGCAAAATAATAGGATTAAGGTCAAATTCCATACATAATTATTGTAAGAAAAAAGAAAATAAGTAGATCCCCTATAGACAACAAAGTTGTGCCAAAACAATATGCCCACAAAATAAATGAGAACTTTAACCTAATATTTCAAAAGTAGCTAAAAGTCATTTTGAAAAGATACAAAATATGAAAGAATAACAAGTTGGAATTAGAAAAACTGAGAAAATGATCAAACTGAAGAAAAAATTAGAAATGAAAAATGTTTCAGAAATGACTAAAGTACCAGGAACTCAAGCACAAAGAAAAAAGATAATTCCTTAGATGAAGGTAGAAAGGAAGAAATATTTTTTTAAATCAAAAATAAATGGAGAAAAAGAAAATGATTCAAGAGGTAGGAACATATGTAGATGATAGACAAAGGAAATCCACCATACGTATAATAGGAGTTCTCAGTGAAGAAACTCAAAGAGAACAGAATAAATATTAAAACTATAAGCCAAGAAAACTTGCCTAGAATGAATAAGATCTGAAACTACATTTGGATAGAAAATAATATTGGAACTAGATTTTGATTTTGAGCTTTATTTCCAAATAAATGAAGTTTCTTATCTAAGATTTTAAAGGAAATAAATTAGTCAAATATTTTATATCCAGTCAGACTGATTTTCAAGTACAGAAAGATATGCAAATTGTCAGTAATGTGCAAGAATTCAGGGAATAGTGTTCTCATTAGTCCTTTCTTAGGTATCTACTAGAGAATAAAATCAGAACCAGAATGAATAGAGAGATCGCAACAAGAGGATTGATGGTGAGCAGTAGTATTAGCAAATAGCAATACTTTATACAGATATATAAATTTGTAGATCTGTCTTTCCTACTAGATATTTAACTAGGAAGACAGGAACTATGCCTGTCTTGTTCATAAGACAGAGTACCTAGCATATTGTACTTCTCAAAGTTAAAATTAATTGATTCAATGTGTTCATAATAAAAGGGGAAAAATCTAACATTTATTGATACCTTATTTTTTGCCAGGCAGTTTAAAAGTAACTTTGCATATTACTTTTATATTTCCATCAACTTTATCATTTAGATGAAAATGTCCCCCTCCTCTAAAATGTGAAAGGCTTAAACATGTGAAGTAACTTGCCTGAGATCACATAGCATCAGTAATAGCTGGTCTGTCTGATTTCCATTATTATTTAGCACAATTTATAATTAAGACATTTAAAATAACTTTGTAATATTTTACTTTCTAGTAAGAAATATCTTTTGCCATCTTGTTTCTACTGTCCTTTTTGGTATCAGGAAAGTAAATTTTAATTGATCACAAATTAAACCTTTTCATATTTATTCTACTAATATTAGATTGAGAAAGTTTAGTTTATTGAAGTCATGTTAATGAATATTTACTTGGTTTTTGTGGGCATTCGGGTGTTTACAGATTAGTAATTTTCAGAAATATGTAATCATAAATGAACTACATATAACGATAAATTAATGTTAACTTTTTTATTATTAGCATGTTATCAGGTGGTTCAGATGGTGTGATTGTACTTTATGATCTTGAGAACTCCAGCAGACAACCTTATTACACATGTAAAGCAGTGTGTTCTGTTGACAGGTGTGTATTAAAAATGTAATTCACGAATTTATAAACAGTTGAGTGTTTTTTTGCATTAAATGCAAAGTATGAAAATAGCAGTCATATGAATGTCTCAAGCAAATTGTTCTAATTATATATTTACATGGATATCCCTTGACATTTTCTTGAAAATCATCACTGAAATTTAGGTGTAGCTCTTTTTAACCTAACTTTCCCAAAACAACTTTGGCTTCAGTTTTCAGGATGATTTTATTGAAAAACTTTTGATTATGTCTTTTTTGTTTTACACCTACATAGCACTACTCAATGACTAATTATAGTTTTTAGTTCCACTTAGTAAAAGATTCATTTATGAGTCTTTCAGCTAATTGTAAACACAAGTTAGATTTTTCAATTGATATTAATAGAACAACCAATTAATGGCTAGAAGCAATAAATACATTGATGTTTCCTTACCAAACAGACATGTACACACAGCCCTCTTACCTCACTACTTATTTACTCAAAGCTTCCTAACTTAAAAATGTACCTCTCTTTGTTTTGAGTTTTCTGACTATTCTTTACTGTCTTTCCAGTCTTGTGAGAATTATTTTAAGTCTTCAGTAAAATGTTTCGTGACTTTGTTGTAATTTGTTGATAATGGTCACTTAATTCTTTCATAATGGTCACCTGTATCTGATATTGAGCAGACCTTGGAATTTACAGAAACAATAGGTATTGAGAAAATGCTTTCAAGAGGAAGACCTTCATGAACATTAATATCAACAGCCACTCTGTATTAAAGCTGTTCCCTAAGCACTAGAATAGATAGAATATTTATGAGGAGATTTATGATTGTTTCTTGGCTCTGATGCTTCACTTTGGAAATATAGATTTGGGAAACTATTACTCTGAACCTCAGGTTATTCTTATAAGGTTTCTTTAAGAATTAAATTAAGTATTCAAAAAACTCGTTGGAAACTGTAAAGCCATTGCATAAACAGAAAGTAATATAGTGATAGGGAAACTTGGTACGAAGCAAGATACCACCTCAGATACTCTGAAACTTGATTTCTAAGAGGGTTATACCATTTTATATTCTCCACTCTCACCAGATAACTAAAAAACTAAATTCTAAAATGTAGAGCATATTAACACTTTATTTTTATTTTCATTCATTTTTATTTTATTTTAACATTTTAACATTGTTTAATTTGTTATATGGCAAAATAGTATTTTCATATATACCACAAACTATATAATGTTATTTCATGAAGGATCTGCTTTTCTAGTATATAAGGTCAAGTAAATGCTTAGCACATCAATCTTTTGCTTTACTATGACTTTCTTCTTAAATTCGAATTCAATCTTTAAAAGTATGACTTTGAATGTAAATGGTCATACAGTGAGTATCCTTACAAAATGAGTTAAAGCAGTATATTTATACCTAAAGACTTTAAAATCTAACTTAAAAAAAATTCAATAAAAATCATTATTGAATTAATGGACTGTTTCCTGATATTTATTTTGGCTTTACTAACTGTGTTTGTTCTCAAGCACCAAAAAGATTCCTCTACCAAAATTTTTATTAAATGTTAATGAGAGTAACAGATCATACATAGTAAGGTAATAATATAATATTTTGTTTTATTTAAAAATTTAAAGTTAAAATATAAATGAGTTTTTATTTTTGAGCACTACATTGAAGATTTATTTTACTTAAAATTGGGAGATCTCTGTATATCAAGATTCCAAGGAGCAAATAGAACTCAGTTCTGCTTATCTTAAGCAGAAATTTATTAGAAAGATAATTAGTATGTCGCATAACTGGCAGGATGGTGGGAAAATGAAGTGTAGAAAATGAGCAGAAATCAAGGGAAACTAGGATAGAGAACACAGGCAAGGTTACACCAAGGAACAATTTCGTTTGGGTTCTGCGACTTTTCACCAACAGACTCTCAGCTCCACAGCTATGAATAATTGGTAACTATCCCTGGAGTTTGCATTACTAGCTTGAGTTTTAGAGTCCCCAGCAGGATTGATGAAGCCCAGGACACATGTCCATGCCCTCGGGGCCAAGGGGATGGAAAAGAGAATGTCTGGAGCCCCTTGCTTTCTGTAAAAAGAAGCAGGACCCTGCTTTTCAGTAAAGCAAAGAGGATTTCCCCCAAACAAGAGGAATTTGGTTGCTCAGCACGTGTCCACCACAATCCACACATTTATTTTTATTTTTTTAAATTAACATTTATTTACGATCCACGCAGCTGTCTGACATCCATATAACACCTCTCTTCCCATACTTAACCTTAAAAAAAAGAAAGTTTTAGCCTAATCTAATGCAAGTATTCACTGTACAACCAAAATATATCATCTTTTTCACCAAAGGGTGATGACCTTAAGTCTATTCAGTTACCACATCCAGATCCAATTTAAGATAATGTCCAGTTTTCCACTAGTTTTACATGATCTTATGTCAGTATCATACAACCTGTGGACTCAATTGTATAGTTAACCAATATAAAGTAAAGAAGATAACAAAGAGAAAAGAATGAGGAAATTGAATTAGCTAAAATATATATGTGACATACAAAGAAAGGAAATATGGGTAGACACTACATCCCTTGTGGTTTCGTAGCTGTCTCAAGGCCAGAACTGACACTTAGGACTTCTTTCTTCATGTTTGCATTCTTTCAGGTAGCACCACAAGTGTTCAAGGTCCTTTACCATGTATTGTTACCCAAACCTTCACCTGAAGGAGCAAGGGCTTATGATATCAGGTCCTGTCTGCACAGGGTTACAGTAGACTTCTGTTGACTTTTATCTTATGGAAAATTTCTGAGCTATGTATCTATTACCCAACTTTAACAAGTCAGTCATAATGAATCTTGTTTCATCTCTACCCCCATCCGCCCACTCTGAGGATTATTTTAGAGCAAATCCAGAGTTGTATCATTTTATTCATAATTATTTATTTGTCTCTAAAAGATACTTTTTATAATCATAACCACAGTACCATTATCTCACATACACAATAATTTCTGATATTAAATATCCAGTACATGTTAAAATTTCCCTCCATTGTCTCATAAGTGTTTCTTAACAGCCAGTTTGTTTACATTAAGGTTCAGTAAAGTGACACATACACTGTTGAGCACTGGTTTAGAGCATATACTGCATCCTTCAGGATGGCACATCACTCTCACAAGATGGTGTATTATAGCTGATACCATAACTGAGTCATCAACAGATCATGCTTCCTCAGGTGATGGGTTACGTAATAGTGGTGAATCCTATTCTTCCGTCATAGAGTAAGTTCTTTGATCAAAAGCAATATTGTGTGGGGTACCATGGAAATATGTGAGGCATTCACCAATTCTAAGAATGATAATGCTGACAAAATGATATTGGGAAGAGCAAGTCCAAAACCAGATTTGTTATCTCTTCCAGTAAGGAAAAATCACTGCCACTTCCATTAATAGGTCCAATATAGCTGGCTGATCTCTTCAAGCTATAATGCATAATAAACCTCGTTTTATGACCCTTCCTAGGAAGCAGGCCTCCACATCACATTATGGAACCCTGAAACTAGAGATGCCTGAACATTCTTTTTCCCTGAACAGCTAGGACAGAGGCATGTGGTCTAGATTTGGCCCGTTATATTGTCCTTCCTGAGACTGCTATTTGTTATAGAATCAGTTTCAAACTCATATAAATCGGTTATCTCTAAATTTTGATTACTGTTTTGTAGAAACCATCCTGATGTTCACAAATATAGTGTGGAGACTGTACAGTGGTATCCTTATGACACTGGCATGTTCACATCAAGCTCATTTGATAAAACGCTGAAAGTATGGGATACAAATACATTACAAGTAAGTGTAAAACCTTTACAAATGGCTCTGTAGGATGAAGGAGAATTTAATTCTAACCCATTTTAGTGTGATTATTTGCTAAGATGTGATATATGTTGGATGTGAGGCCGTATAGTGGTTAAAGAGACCTAGACTGCTTGAGTTCGTATCTTGGGTCTGCTGATGATGAGCTGTATGACATTGGGCAAGTGCCTGAACCTCTCTGTGTTTCAGTTGCCTCATCTGTAAATATAAATAATGATTGAACCTTATAGAATGGTTGTTATACTTAAACTAGAACAATACCTAGCATATAGTAAGTGCTCAAATATCATTAGCTATTGTCTTTATTATTTGAAAACTACTGTGGCTTAGTGATATAAGGAAGAAAATTGGATTTTTCTCCTATTGACCTAACAACTTAAAGGAAAAGAAAGTTATCAATATATTTTAGTAAAGATTGACAGTAGATAATAGTTTTTACGATATTTGGTCAAATTTGTATTTCTAGTGCTAATTTTATCCCTGAACTCTAGCCCATATTTCTCTACCTATCTATAGAACTTCTTACTTGAATGTAGTATCATCTCCTCAAACTGTACGTGTTAACAAACTGAGCATAATCGCTCCTCACATCTATTTTAACAATCTTTCTTCAAACTCATATTTAACTCTTCTATTTCCCTCACCATTGCTATATATCTAGACTACTACTAAAAACTCCTAACTGGTTTTCCTGCATTATTTTTCTTCCCACATTTTCCATGGTAAGTTCTACCTCAGAACCGACCTTATTGTAAAGCAATTTTATCCTGTCTCTACCCAAAACCTCTTGTGACTCCCATTGTCTATAAATTCAGCCTAGCGTTCTAAGTTCTCTGTAACCTCACTTCCTACACCCTAAACCTTAGCTTCTACTTCTTTTTAGCATAAATGATTTGCTGCTACTAAATTGATCTCTTTTTGCTTTCTGATCACATTTTGATTGTGTTGTATTTCCTACCTCAAGTGTCCTTCCCTGGCAACTTTTTCCTTCTCTTATTTGTCATATAACTGGAAGTTTGTACTCTATGACCAACATCTTCCCATTTCTCCCACCTCCTGGCCGCTGGTAATCACCATTTTATTTTGTTTTTTTCCCTCAAGATTTCAAATGTCTTTCCCCACCAGATTGAGACATAATTAAAACATAACATTGTCTAAGTTTAAGGTATATAGTATGATGATTTGATACACTTACATACTGTAAAACATTTACTACCAAGGGTTAACACTTCAATCACCTCACATAAGTATCATTTTGTGGCGAGAACATTTAAGATCTACTCTCAAAGCAACTTTCAAGTATATGAAACAGTAAACTAGAGTCACCACACTGTACATTACATCTCTAGAACTTATTCATCTTACAACTGAAAGTTTGTCCCCTTTGACCAATATCTCCCCATTTCCCCCACCCTCAGGTCCCCAGCAACTACCATTCCTTTGTTTCTATGAGTTTGGCTTTTTTAGATTCCACATATAAGAGAGATCAACTGGTATTTGTCTTTCTCTGTCTGATTTATTTGCCCTCAGTGTCCATCCATGTTGTCACAAATGGCAGAATTTTCTTCTTTCTCATGGCCAAATATTCCATTGTGCGTACACACACACACACACACACACACACACACACACTCACACTACATCTTCTTTAGTCTCTTGTTGATTGGTACTTAGGTTATTTCCATGACTTAGCTATTGTAAATAATGCTTCATTGAACATGAGTGCACTTATCTTTTCAAATTAGTGTTTTCACTTTCTTTGGATGAGTACCCAGAGTGGAATTGCTAGATCATATGGTAGTTATTTTTTTTAACTTTTTAAAGAATCCCCATACTGTTTTTCGTAGTGGCTGCACCAATTTACGTTTCACCAACAGTGCACAAGGGTTCCCTTTACTCCATGTCCTGTTATTGCTTGTCTCTTTGATAATAGCCTATTATTGTTTCATAAGTGTGAGAAGATATCTCATTGTGGTTTTGACTTGCATTTTTCTGTTGATATTTTCCTGTGATGTTGAGTACCTTTTTATGTACCTCTTGATCCTTTTTATATCTTCTTTGGCAAAATGTCTGGTTCCTCTGCCTATTTTTTTAATTGGATTTCTTTTTTTTTTTTTTTTGCTGTTGAGTTGTATAAGTTCTTTATATATTTTTAGATATTAACCCCTTATCATATACATGATTTGCAAATATTCCCTCCTATTCTGTAGATTGCCTTTTCATTTTGTTGATGGTTTCCTTTACTGTGGAGAAGAATTTAGTTTGATGTAGACACAGTTGTTCATTTTGCTTTTGGTGTCAGATCCAAACAGTCATCAACTAGGAGCTTACCCCTATGTTTTCTTCTAGGAGTTTTATGGTTTCAGGTCTTCCATTCAAGTCTTTAATCCATTTTGAGTTAATATATGTGTATGGTATAAGATAGTGGTTTAGTTTCATTCTTTTTTGCATGTGGCTGTGTAGTTTTCCCAATATCATTTATTGGGAAAGTATAGATTACTTTCTTCATTGTGATTCTTGGCTCCTTTATTGTAAATTAATTGACCATATATACCTCAGGCTTATTTTTGGGTTCTCTATTCTGTTACTTTGATCTGTGTGTCTGCTTTTATGCCATACCATACTGTTTTGATTACTACAGCTTTGTAATATAGTTTGAAATTAAGAAGTATGATGCCTCCAGCTTTGTTTTTCTTTCTCAAGATTGCTCTGGATATTCAGGGTCTCTTGTTCCATATAAATTTTGAAATCGTTCTTTTCTATTTCTGTGAAAACTAGGAGAAATTTGGTAAAAAGTTTTGTGTTGTTTTTTGTTTGTTGGTTGGTTGGTTGATTGGTTGGATGGTCTTGGGGAGGGACATGCTGTTAAGATTGGCTGGTATTTTCTCTTTGAAATAAAAGATCAGATCACCTGTCATGACCAAGTGGAGATGTTTGTGGAGAATGGAGAAGGTTTGAAATGGCTGTCAATATTGAGGAGTATGCTAGTGAAATATAGTAGGACTGGCAGTCAAGGCTGAAAGCCCCAATGAGATGAATGATCTTTTATAGTGATACCAGTCTTCTCTGTTATAAAACTTTCTAAACCTGGTCAGGCAGAGCTCAACTAACTGCAGCCAATAGACCAAGTATGTCTGGACTCTGGGCCAAGTGTGGCTCATGGTCTCTTTTTGTAAACTAAATGTAACTGGAACAGATAAGCTCATTTGTTTTCTATGGCCACTTTGAAGCACGAGTTGCAGAAATGAGTAGTTGATTGGTCCTAAAAGCCTAAAATATTTATAATCAGACCCTTTATTGAAAATATTTGCCGATCTTTGTTGTAGATCAACCTGAATATAGGTGCATATTGACATATGGAGTTGTCCAGGATTGAGGTCTTGACAAGTGCAAGCATAATGACGAAAGAGTTGATGATGTTGACAATTTAAGTATTGGACCTTGGAATCCAAGCTTAAGAAGGAAAAGAAGAAACAGTAGGGATTAATAGATGTTCGGGCTTTATTTGGGTGTCTGGAAGTAGTTGGGAAAAAAAGTGAAAATGTAGATAATTATGGCCATATATAATTGAAATGTGTGATTTTTTTTCACTGAGTTCTTTTTATTTTATTTTAATTTATTTTGAATTCTTTAATGTCATCACACATTTGACCCCTTTTACCCCATCTACCTCCCTCCTCATCCCTCCTACCCACCCTCTGTTAACCACTAGTCTATTGTCTATGTCCATGTGTCTCTGTTTGTTTGTCCTGTTCGTTTGTTGCTTTTAGGTTTATATCCCACATGTAAGTAATATCATGTGGTTTTCAACTTTTTCTGTCTGGCCTATTTCACTTAGCATGATTATCTCGAGGTCCATCCATGTTGTCGCAAATGGCAGTATTTCATCTCTTCTTATGGCTGAGTAATATTCCATTGTATATATGTACCACAGCTTCTTTATCTAATCATCTATTGTAGGACACTTCGGTTGCTTCTATGTCCTGGCCACCGTGAATAATGCTATGAACATTGGTGTGCAAATATCTTTTCAGATATGAGTTTTCAAGTCTTCAGGGGTAAATACTCAGCAGAGGGATTGCTAGGTCATATGGTAGATCAATTCTTAGGTTTTTGAGGAACCTCCATACAGAAGGAGCAATTCTAAGTGATGCGAGTGTCCTGTATATGGCAGCTGAGAGGCAGATTGTTGTCTACATCATCTGTGTATATGCTGAAGTCCCTAGAATGAGATAGACAGGAAGATGGTGAGGTGGTTGTCTTTTCTTAATATCTGGGATTTATCAGAGAAAAACTTTTTTTCCTCACAAAAGGGAGAAAAGTGTTATAAATAACAGGATTTAAAATTATCAGGTTTTTAGCACTCCTACATTTAAGTCAAATAATTGCTAACAGTCAATTTAAAAATTGCTAACAATGTGAAAAATATAAATAGAAAGTTTGTTGCTTTTGTAACTATAATTAGAACTTACACTTTTAAAATGTCTTTTGATTATTAGACTGCAGATGTATTTAATTTCGAAGAAACCGTTTATAGTCATCATATGTCTCCAGTCGCCACTAAGCACTGTTTGGTAGCAGGTTTGTGCATGTATTCTTTTATTTTTTAAAACATAGAAAACTTTCTCCCTTTTAATATTTAGTTTTGATACAGACATTTTAACCCAGATGAAGACCACAATTCTCTAAAAGAAAAAAAACAAAAAGATTTAAGTATATGCCACTATTTATATTCAGTTTAACAGGTTTGGGGCAAGTCAGGCATTGTGCTACTGGCTAGGATTCAGAGATTAATTAAGAAAATACATTTCTGTTCCTGAAGTTACTATTAAAACACCAAAATTTCAAAGATTTTACATGAACAACTTTTTCAATTTGACACAATGAAACAGGAAATTATTTCCTTTTCTCTAAAATTGTGAGATTCAAATTAAACATCCGTTTTTATGAAAGCATCTGCAATAAAAATTTTCATGTATATAGAAATAAAAATGTTTTTCTGGCATCACGTATCAGTTCCTTGTGAGTTCACTATCTCTGTGGACTGCATGAACCCCCTCTCCTCTGGACATTAGTCAGCTACTTCATCTGTAAAGAAGAGCTGGGCACTAAATTATCTTTGCGGTCCGCTCATTCTGTCCAGAATTATGAACCTGTTATAGTGTTTAGAAATATTTCATTATCATGGTAAAACTGAGCTATTAAAGTAAAATAATTTGATGTATAAAATAGCATAGAATTATATGCACACATTGTACCAATACAAATTTCCTGGGTTTAATATTGTATTATAGTTACCTAACATATAACGATTGGGGGAGCCTGAGTGAAGGGTACACAGGGCCACTCTACTATTTTTGCAACTTCCTATGAATAAATATAATTATTTCTAAATTAAATTGTAAAAAATAATGCAGTAATACAGTTGTCTTGGTACCAAAGCACAACTACTATTAAAATGATTTTTCTAATTATAAAGGAAAACTATTTGAAGTATATTTTTAGCATACATTTTAATATTTCTGCATGGATACAGTGACTATGTCATAATTCATAATGATGGTCTCTTATGTCCGTTTTGCTGATGATTTATAATAAAATTACCTTAAACCATTTTTGTTTTTGTTTTACAGTTGGTACTAGAGGGCCCAAAGTACAACTTTGTGACTTAAAGTCTGGATCCTGTTCCCACATTCTACAGGGTATTTTTTTTTTTATTTGTAACAACAACTACTTTGAGTAAACCATTCAATAAAAAGAAACATTGTTAACAATGTATTCTTTGTAAGTGACATGACTGATGTATTTTGTGCTAGTTGTTAAAAGTCAACAGAGAAATAAAGATCCTTCTGTGCTTCTTCTTATAAAACTGAACTATTGAAGGGACATTTATTATGAACAATGGCCATAGGGGAAGCTCAAAGGATATGGAAGATCTAACTCAAAACCTTGTGTTATTTCTACATGTTAAAAAATAAACTACTTATAAAATTTACATGAATACATTTGTTTCATGAGCATTGTCTAATATTGTTCTGGCTGAATAAAGGTTTTTAATATTTAGGTGCTTTTTTTTCAGTAAAAATATTTTAGAAAAAATAACCAATAATGCTTAGATAAAGGTAATTATTTTTGCTACTATTTTATCAGTATCGTATTATCTAATCCTAAACAATGAAAAGATCTATAATTCAGAAATATACATTTTTATTCATCTCCGAGAAACACATAATAAATATATAAGGAAAACTTGGTGAAATGGATAGGATTTGTTTTACATTATCAGGTGGATGACTATAACTGATATGAATAGTTCAGTTAGGTAAAAGTGAATTAAAATGCTGAAATCACTTATCCTATGAATTTATTACTTCGCTTTCTAGAAAAAATTTTTATACAAATACTTTTTTATAATCATGATTTAAAATAATTTCTTCTATTATAGCTCTGAAAAGGTAGAAAACATTTTTATTGTTCAGAATGTTTATCTTGTATGGTTTGTTGACAGTAGCTTTTGTTGTAGAGATAAGTGAACTTGAGCTATATCACTTATTGATGGATTGACTTACTAGGCCAACAACTGTATTTAAAAGGAAAGACTCATTTGCTCTGCCTGTTCTTTCCAAAGCAAAAGCAGACCTTTTATAATAAAATGCCATGTGTAAGAAAACCTCCATAGACTTCACAGTAATATTTAAACAGATTATTATAAAAGTGAAAAAATGATATCCATTTATGCATTTATTATTTAGTTTTCACTTCAAATCAGGAAAATTAATTGCACTGTATCTTTTGATTTTTCAAATGTTTTGCAAGACTTTTCATACAGTTGTATTTGCAGGTCACAGACAAGAAATTTTGGCAGTTTCTTGGTCACCACGTCATGAATATATCTTGGCAACTGCAAGGTAAAATTCAAATTATTTGGTTTTGAACTTAATGATAATCATTTTGAAGACCATATGTAAGATGTATATTTAGTTATTAATTAGGTCCTTTAAAATAATCGAGTTACAGATACTCATATGATCAAAAGAAATCTTCCTTTGTATCATAATTGTAATTCTGACTATCCATCTTGAAGTTGCTCACCTTTTTAAAACAGAAAACAAGAATCTGTGTAGCAATGCAGATCTATACAGCTCTTAAAACAGTAAACAACCGTGTTGTCACTTATGCATGCAAAAATATAGCACTCTGTTAATTTAAAAATAGTAGCATTTTAATTTTTTTCTTTAATCCAGAATTATTTTGAATCTGATTCAACACATCCATACATTCATTGATTCAATTTACTAATATTTAATGACTGCCTACCATGTTCCAAGCATCGGGCGAGGGATGAGAGATGTAATACGGAAAAAGAGCAAGAGCACTTAACTTTGAGAGAACCAAGAGGTTTGAGAGGTTTTGTTTGTTGGAGGGAAGAGTCTTGCATATTTTTATGCTGAGGAGAAAGTACCAGTAGAGAGAAGCTGGTGAAGATAAGAAATGGAAGGAATTCAGGATTTTAAATGGACTGGGTAGGGTAGTATCAAGGGTCCAAGGTAGGAAGGGGGAACACTTGATTTGATACATGAGGGGCATCATGAGACTAAATGGAAGGAAGAAGACTTAGACATACAGTTAAATTTGTGGCTTTGCAGAGAAACTCAAGAAATCCAAACCTAATGGAGTATAGCTTAATGTCATCTGTTGAAAATAGTGGAATGAGAATGCAATTTTGAGGGAAGATAGTAAAGATTTGGAATAACAGTTTTAACAAATGGGCGAAGGAAGTGATTAGAGGGACATAGGAATGCTGGACAGTGTTGAGTGCTAAGTTAGAGGTGTAGACCACAACTATACTAAGCCACAGAAATCAAAACATTAAATGACACAGACTTAGCAATTACCTTAAAATTGTTAAAGTCGTGGGTATAAAGATGGAAATAAAATCATAAAAAAGGTTTATAGGCAGCATTAAGGACCTAATGAGATGTGTGTCAGAGTAAGAAAATTGAAAACTGAAGGCATCAGAAGTCAAAGATTTTGACATAGACATTTTAATAAAATTTTTTGTAGAAGAATTATTACAGAAGTTTTATAAAGATATCATGTCTGGATTTTTATAAATTTTCCAGCTCTCCCTTTCTGTCACAGTTTTGTCCCTAAAGAAGCTTTTGTTAAAGTTTGCAGACTGTGAGGTTGAAATTTATAATTTCCAAAGTAGAACAAGGTCTAGAATGTAGCCATAAGAAGACTGGCTAAAGAGGTGTGAAGGTGAGTTGCTGGGTGCTGTTTGGGTCCATGCTAAGTAAATTTACATTGTTTCTACCTAATTGGGTTTTCCTTTAATCAGGGAAGCTAAAGAGGCTTTTAGTTCTTAGAATACCCTAGGAATTTGAATCAGTACCAGAATGGACCTCGCAATCAGTGTTAGGAGTCAGATATCTCTAAATCTGATCTGTTTCAGAAGAGACTTAAATTCTCAGACTCATCCCATTGCAGATGTTTTCTCTAGTTGGAAAGAAAGAAAATCAGCTTGAAAATGAAAAATGCTAGCTTTTTGCTGATTATTCTAATTGACTAGGTTTGATGGTCATCTGTGAAATGAACCTAGGTTATAGGAAGAGATGAACCCTGAATATATATTTTAAAAGATTTATAAATGAGGAAAAGGTTTATAAAATGCCATGCAATGCTCTTTCTAATTAAAATGCCTGAATAAACGCAATGGGTTAGAATATTGCTGAAGTCTTTGTGAGGATATGATAGCATCAGTTGAACTGATATATATTTTCTTTAGGAGTAGTTTAGAAGCTGAAATTAATGTGATCATGTTTTTGCCTTTCTTTTCACTTTCTTGAAATAAAATGAGTATCTAATTGCCAGGAGACATTAAATCTAGTTCTTGTATATCTGTGCAGATTGATTTGAGTACAGGAAACTTAATAAAAATATTTTATCTTCATTAGTCACCTTATTCTTGATTGTTTACCACATAAAATGCGAAGAAAAAATCCCACCAGATTTATGCCAAATAGATTCTTAAGCAAAGTGAAATTAGTTAACTGCTTGATTGTTTATATAACATTTAAATAACAAATACTAGTAAGGTGAAGTAACAAACTTGTTTAGGGAACAAACCTATCTAAGCCCATGTAATCCTTGAAAAAGATGCTCATATCATTAAAAGCAACCTGAAAAGCAGCAGAATTCTGTCCTTGTGATCTAAAAAAGTTACTTTTTTTTGCGCTATTTTTCACTTTTTTGTGCTACTATTAACTATTGAATGTTTGCTGATAAGGCAAAAATACAACAACCCAAATGTACAAATATACTGAGACTTTGTGCCATAACATTGGAAAGGCGGGTAAGGAGTACAGTCACTATCCTAGTTATATATGTCAGTGTAACATTTATTTCTTTTCAGTGCTGACAGTAGAGTAAAATTATGGGATGTAAGGAGAGCGTCAGGATGTTTGATTACTCTTGATCAGCATAATGGGGAAAAGTCACAAGCTGTTGAATCAGGTAATGAAGAATGTATTAATATAGAAATATAACATTGATAGTTTTTTATATTGAAAATTTTGAATGAAACCAAATAATAAAGGTATACTGTCAAATTGCAAATTTTGTGTTTAAAAATAAAAAGGTATTCACAATAAATCTATTTCTAAATTTAAATAAACTAAATTATGGTTGTCTTCCTTTAGGATACAAATAAGTAATGGCATTTCATCTGTTCCTGAATTTTCAAGTGTAGAAACGTTTCTGGATTAACTCGTTACCTTTTCCTCCAGTGATGCTAACTAATACCAATTCAGTGCCACTTGTGAAGTTAGAATAAATTAAAGGAATAGTAACATTTCGTGGTCATTGTGTCACTAAAATTTGCAAGTTGTGTTAAATGTGAGTCAAGTGCAATCCAGGTGGTAAAGTACCACAGTTGTATTTTTAGAATAGAATTTAATTTCTGTGTAGTTTAAAATTCTGATTCAGAATTCTGGACCAGAAATATATGAAGACCAACTGATTAAAATCTACATTTGTTTTAATAATCTCTTAAATTAATCAGGCTATTGAGAATTATGCTTTCTCAAACTTGTTTATTTTGAAAGTAATATAAATTTTAATTGAGACTAGAACAGTTGTACTTCCCCTCTTAAAGTTTTTAAATAAGAAATACTAGTATTAATGACTTAATAGTGAATGGAATGATTTTTAGATTAAAAAGAGAAATAATATAAAGTATAAAAGATATTTGAAAGGTGTTTAATTTAAAACTTAAGTGTTAAACTATGCTGAGTTTGATAGCTTAGTCTACTCTTTGAAAAATTATATTTGGCAGGATTTTTTCCCTTTGGTTTTTCAGTTTTCCTCTATTTTTATGGTTCTAATTTATATAGCTTATATTCAAATAATCAAAGGGTGACTCATTTTAAATATATTCAACTTATATATTTTATGTAATTCAGTTGTCCTTTAATATTTTTAAAAACTAGATTATCAAGCATTAAATGTGTGCTGAATACAAGAACAGAAAACTGAATTGTATTTTTCATTGCAGCAAATACTGCTCATAATGGGAAAGTTAATGGCTTATGTTTTACAAATGATGGACTTCACCTACTCACTGTTGGTACAGATAATCGAATGAGACTCTGGAATAGTTCCAATGGAGAAAACACACTGGTAAGAGATTTTAAATACCTCCAAGCTTTTGATGTAAATTAAAGAAATGGATCTGTGTTATACACTTGATGTTTTCCTATAAATTTAACTCTTTTTCTTGCTTCTGAATCACAGCTTTCTTTTTATAACATTTTCCCATTGTATTAACAGTAATTCTCAGTTTAGGACAGCTCACCCCATCTCTCCCCAAGCACATTGTCCCCATTCCTTTACTGAGCCACTGTGTATAATGGGAATATGCCATATCTCTCACGTATGTTGGAGAACAACTGATATAAAGTTATAAAGTTAAAAGCTCAAATTTCATACTACATGTGACTCGTAAACAAAATCTAAAATTAATGTTATAGTACTAGGACGTATAGTACTTTAATATTGGAATAAATGTGTTTTAAAGGTGCTAGATTATTCTGTGGTAATTGATTTCCAGTATATTTTTAAATTATGTTGTGGTCCTTAACCAAGTATATCTATGGTTTAGTAACTTTCAGAATAAGCTACCAAAAGTTTATAATTTGGTGATAGTAATAATAGCTAATATTTTTTGAGAGCTTATGAGCCAAGTACTGTGTTGGCGCATATATGGTCTTAATTTAATCATCACACCAACACTATAAAGGTAGTTACTGTTATAATACCCATTTTACACATGAGGAAAATGAGATATAAAATGGTTAGGTAACTTATCTAAGTTGCACAGCAGAAAGCAACAGAGTTTGACTCTAGTTTCCACTCCTACTATGCTAATTATACCCAGACCACTTAAAGCATTTACTTAATACCTTAAGGTAGGTATTTAATATTAATCCTAATCTCATTCCTTTCTTTAATCATCCTAGCTAATTCTCTTTCAGATACTCTACATATCACTTTCATTATTAAATACTAATTTTACTATAAGGTCAAAATTGTTTATACTACATTACTTTAGAGTAATCCCCCACATTCTTTTTGAAATTCTTCATTATGTCTCGAGCTAGAAAATCAGGCATTGCAAATTTTAATTTAGACTCTTCCATTCATTATATAGTTCCATGTCCATAATTAGGTCACACCTTCCTTTTCTCATTTTTTTGTTTAATAAATATTTATTGAATACTTCCTATTTGCCAGGCAGTGCTATACAGCAGTAGACAAATCATAGAAAAAGCTCTATCCTCATAGAGCTTACATTCCAGGGAGGGGAAGAAAGACATCTGTCCCTAATCAATAAATGGATAGATGGATGGATGAATAAATGGATGGATGGATAAAATAATACATTAAAGGCAGTAAACACTGTGGGGGAAGAACAAGAAAAGTTGCCTAGAAATTATTGGGAAGTTGGAATTGTTTTACATGCAGGGCAGTCATCATAGGTCTCACTCAGAACATGACAGCCTGAAGGAAATAAAGGAATGAGCCATCAGATATATGGAACGGAGAGCATTCCAGGCAGAGGAAGGAAGAAAGTATAAAGATCCTGAGGTAGGAGCACGCTTGGAGTACCCAGGGGACATCTCAGGTGCTCTTGTGTTGGAATAGAGTAAGCAGGGGAGAGAGTAATAGATGAGGAACAGAAGGAACAGGATACCAGAGCATATAGGCTTGTGGACCTTTATAAGGGCTAAAATTTTTTCTCTGGATGAGATGGAAAGCCACTCAAGGCTCTTGAGAAGTGATGGGGTCACTTTGGAAAAGTAGGCTGGCATGGGCGTCAAAGGTGAATGTATTGAGTATATATACATAAATTGTTAGTGTGATTTTATTCTATTTTTCTCTCCTTCTTGAAGGTAATACTCATACCCTATGGATTTTTTGCTAATAAGTCCATATCTCGAATAGTATGTTTAGAATGAACAATGCATTTTAAAATGGAACTTGATCAAAGTAAAAGTCATTCATACAAAGATGACTAGAGTAACCCAGAAACTCACCTACAGAACATACTTAAAGGTATTTGGGACATTGATCCCAGTAAAAGTAACTCTCAGAGGAACCACACTGTCTTTAAATATTTAGAGGGCTGTCAGACAGAATAAGAAACAAATTCCAGTCCTGCCATTTAGTAATTTGGGGATATTAGGCAATTTATGTACAGTGAAATATATAAACTATACAGTTAATAGAACATTATTAGGAATTTACATCTATTCTTAGATATTTTGCCATTCTAATTAATGCTGCATTGAATTCCTCTGGGCATATAGCTTTTTGCTATTCAATTATTTTTCTAAGATAAATTTCCAGTAGTTACTAGGTCAAGGAGTAAGAATATCTTTGTTGTTCAATAGGTATAGAGTTTCAGTTTCACAAGATGAAAAGAGTTCTGGAGATATGAATGTACTTAATGTCATTGAACTGTACAGTTAAATATGATTAAGATGGAGAATTTCGTTATGTATATTTTAACCACAATTAAAAATATTTTAAAATAAAAGGATTATCTACTCCCGCCCCCCCCCCCCAAAAAAAGAATATCTTTGTATTTTGTTGCATAGTAAACTATTTGGCCTTTTAGAAAGAATGACCAAATTACACTATGCCATCATGTTTATCTCACTTGTACCAGTATTGAGTTTCTTATGGTTTCTTAAAATCTTTGATAATGGTTTAAATGATTCTTCAGAGTTGCCTTAATTTGCATTTTTATTTCTGTCGAGGTTGAAATGTGAACATTTGCTTTTGTGGGGTTTTTTTGCTGTTTGTATTTTCCTCTTACATTTATGTCATTGGCCCTTATTTATATTAAGACATTGGTCATTTTCCTTAGATTTATAAGAACCCTTTTTATAGTGTATTCTAATATTTTCCATAAATATTCCTTTCAGTCTTTGTTGTCTTTTTAATTCAGATTTAAGAAGTGAATAACTTTATGATTTTACATCTTACAGGTGAATTATGGAAAAGTTTGTAATGACAGTAGAAAAGGATTGAAATTCACTGTCTCCTGTGGCTGCAGTTCAGAATTTGTTTTTGTACCATATGGTAGCACCATTGCTGTTTATACAATTTACTCAGGAGAACAGATAACTATGCTTAAGGGACATTTTAAAAGTGTTGACTGCTGTGTATTTCAGTCTGATTTCCAGGTAAGGATGATACTTAAGGGAATTTAAAATGTTCAGATAACTAGCTTGCCGGACTAGTTGTATATAGAAGAGTAAATTGCAATTTCATTCTGAGTAATTATATTTTTAATAGAGGTTAATACGGGATATATTTTTAGATGTTATAGGATGTATATCTGAAGCAGTTAAATACTGTATAACTTGACTGGGATAAATTCATTATTTTGCATATGGGCTTCATTTATTTGACTGCTGAAAATCTCTGGCAAATTAAAATAATTTCTTGCAAACAGTCTTTTGGGAAAGAATAGAATATATGTGTCTAATCTCAAAATATAGCTTGTATATCTTGATTTATGTATGTATGAGTCTAAGGTTTTCTCTCTTTTTCTGCCAATGACTAATAAGTTTGCTTTTTGAGTTAATGCAACTTATATCATTTCTTAAATACATACCTATAGCTGTTGTTTAACATCTTGACCTTTCTCTTTCATCTCACCAATGGAGCACATTGATTTTTCAGAGAACATTTACACAGATTTACTTCATGTTCTCCTTTAAATGAGTTTCTAATATAGCAAGACTGTTGGTATTTTCCTTGTCTATGGGGAAAATGAGGCTCATGAAAGTTTAATAGAATGAAAATTGTTAGATTATTTGAGCTAAAATGAAAATTATTGGATTATTTGAGCTAGGAAGGACTTTAAGTACCAGCTCTTATTCATTCATTTATTTATACTGATTACTTAATTTGCGTCTGACACCATACTGTAAGATACACAGGGCTGATTTTTCAGCCAGCACACATCAGTATGCAATATTTATTATTAAAATATTCAAATACATATCCCACTATTTGTTAAATAGCTGTTGCACCAAGCCCCCTAAGTAACCTCCAGCATTACCCACTTCCCCAGGGCTTCCTAAACCTCACCTCAACCCAACAACTAAAAGAGACCTTCAAGACTCTGCTCTTACTTTATGGCTAGTATCTCTTCTGATTGACCAGTGTCTTGATGTACCAGTTGTTAAATATTTTCAGTGTTACTTGCGAGAAAAGAAAATTGAAGCCGCCAGAGAGGGGCCATGATTTGCCTCAAACCTGCAAGTAGTTTTTGACAGAGAATGATTATCCATTCAAAGAACTTTTTAGAATACTGTACCTTTTTTCTTGTTCAGAGTCATTTAGAGACAAAGCCAAGATTTAACCAATGTTTTCTGACTATAAATTATTACTTTCCAACAAATCAGAGCATCCTAATAATCGTGCCTACAGTGGATTAAAGTGTGCCATGATACTGATTCCCTTCAGTCCCTGGAATAACTGAGACAAGCCTGGGTCAGCCAGAAACCTGGGGCCAGTTGCCTCCTGACAAATACCATTTCTATATTTGCTAAGTACTTAGAAAGATTTTAATCACTGTACTTCATCAGAAAGCATCCAACTCTTATCTCATTCCATCTACTATGATTTCTGAAAAGGAAGATAATTATAAATCTCAAAAGTAAGGGAGTAGTACTTTTGCATCTGTTTAGCAGCAGAACCTTTTTCCAAATGAAATATTATGCAAAACTCACTCTGAAAACAAACCTGATATAGTAATTCTACCAGGAATATAAAAATCTGACAAGGTATATGCAACATCAAAATAATGATAATAATGGATTATAACCCATTGACTAAAATAGAGATCCACAAATCTGGTATAAGTAAGTAAACTAATTAAAGTCTGATGAGGAATAGGATATTTACATATTTCAAAGTACCACCTTAAAAAATATTAATTAAAAAGGTAAAATGAACGATTTTACCTTGAAAGAGCCCGGCAATACATTACCTTAATCAAATGATCAAAGTTAATGTCCTAGTTCTGGGACATCAGTTCTGTGATACTCCTGGCAAAGATGTATCACCTAAATTTAGTCATGAGAAAGCATAAGACAAACAAAATTTGAGGGACATTCTACAAAATAACTGGTATGTACCTTCAAAATTGTCATGGTCAGGAAAGCCAAGGAGAGACTAAAGAACTGTTCCAGATTATAGGAAAGTAAAGAGACATGACAACTCAGTGTAGCATATGATTTTGAATTGGACCCTTTTGCTATAAAGGACATTATTGGGACAACTGGTAAAACCTAAGTGGGTCAAAGAATTAGCTGGTAGTAATATATCAATGTGAATTTTCTGAGTTTGTTGGTAGTATTGTAATTATGTAGGAGAATGTCCTTGTTCATGGGAAATATACACTGAATGTTCAAGCATGATAGTACCTCATGTTGGCAACTTATTCTTGTGTGTTTCAGGGAAAAACAGTCTTTTGTGCTGTACTTGCAACTTTTCTTTAAACTTTGAGATTGTTTTTTTTTATTTTTAATCCAGTATCTCAAATGAACCCCTGCACTTAGCCAAAAACTTCAAGACTCAATTCAAATACCTTCAAGTGAAGTCTTTATTAATCATTCTGATTGAAGTTCTGTCTCTTCCAAGCTCTCTTTATATATTTACAGAATTGCCTTTACATATCCATCAGTGTAGCAGTGCGTATCATGAACTGCCTTTTAAGCTTATTTGACCAAGTTATCTTGGTTATATATCTTGTCTTCTCAGAAAACTAAATTACTCAATGTCACTGAACATTTGAAAATATTTTTGTATTATCTATAGTTAATGTAACCATATATTTTAGATTTAACAATACAGTTACAGAATTTTGTTCCATTTAGGAAATTTGATCATGTATAATTAAATTTAATTTAATTTTTTATATCTATATTTCCTATAAATTCATAATCTTATTTTCTTTACCCAGAACTCTTACTTTTTTTTTTTTTTTAGAAAAATACTAATTGTACTAGGCTTAAATAGTTTTTGAGATGAACAGTAATAAAAATAATTACATCCCAGAGCAGGAAAGAAGTTATAGTGTTAAAAATATTTGTGTAATAATCCAGAAGTATATTTGTGAGGGGGAAAAAAATCAGTCAGAGTTTTACAACCACTTAACACTCTAGTGTTTCGTTTTGTTTTTTTAATCCTTTTCTCTTTTGCCTAGTAGCTTTTTTTTTAATGGACCTAAGTTTTATATCCTATTTTTTTGCCTTCACACTATGAATATTTGGTTTTATCCTATTATTTTCTTTTGACATTATGAGTATTTTCCTATGTCATTAGTCTTCAAAAATAAATTTAATGGGTATATCATAACCAGTCATGTAAATGTTACATAAATTTATATAAATTAATACCCTACTTGTAGACAATTATTTCTATTTTTATTATAAATATAATACTAATGATATCCTTGAATTTTATTTATGTCTTTGGCACGACTTCTTAAAAATGCATTCAAAAACTTTTGATGCATATCGAGATTCTATTCTCCAAAAAAGATGATCCCAGTTTATGACCTCTTTACGAGAGGATCTGTTTCATTGCCCCATAGGAATGTTTTCAATACTAGCAAATATAACATTCCTTAAGTTTTGTTGAGAAAGGAAATGAAATGAACATGGTTCTGCCTTATGCAAACAGCATATGCATAAAGACATTGACATAGACTGTGCATCAACTCAAGCTTCCCCTTATAAAATAAATATTTTGTGAATTTTTGGCCTATTTTAGCTAGAAACTCATGTGGTTTCTCCTTGAAGTCTTTATTAAAGCTCAGTTATTGACAGAAAAGGACAAACTCTTTACTTCATCCTTTTTTTCTTTCTCTACTCTAACATTTGAAATAGATACTATGATTGATAAAAACCATTAGGATGTTGAATGTTTTTGTAAATTTTCACGTTAGCAAGCTTCAACTTATCATAATACTGTTTTTAAATATAAAATGAAGGTTTACTACATTAAAAATAAAAAGTTATCAGCTCAGTTTTTTGGAGTAGGAATAGAATTAATCTAATTGATCTAACCTAAGAAAGAATCATTGAAAAATTGATATAGTTTGTTTCAGATTGGTACTAGCTTTAAGTTTACCCACAATCACATCTTTCCTTTCTGTGCTATAGGAACTTTATAGTGGTAGCAGAGATTGCAATATTCTTGCTTGGGTACCATCCTTATATGAACCAGTTCCTGATGATGATGAGGTAAATATTATTTGTACAAATTGTAGTTACTTTTAAATCATAAATTAAAAAGTTTTATTAATTTTATATGAGAGACTTTTAAAGCACTTCTTGCTATTTTCTGATGTTAAAAATAATTTGTCTATTATAACACATTTGGAAAATTCAGACAAATATTAAAAGAACACAAATTTCTAAAGCTGAATTAATTACTGTTAACATTTTTATTTACTTTATTCTTGTTTTTCCTATTTCTATTTTTAACATACTAAATATTGTGCTTGGACATACAGCTTGGCATCTCACTTAATATTGTACAATAAATCTTTTACCATGTTATTAATAACTATTGTTTTTAATAATATGGCATTCTGTTATTTATATGCCACAGTTTACTTAAATATTTACTCACTTGGTGACATTTCTTTTGATCATTACTAACAAATTAAGGTGAATAGCTGTTCATAAATTGTTTATATTTCTGACTGCTTGTTTGGATAAATTCATAGTAGGTTTATCTCAAGTTATCATGTATGACGTTTTTAAGGCTCTTTATTTACACTGTCAGATTTTACCAGTTTATATTCCTCTTAGCAGTCTGTTAGTGCCTTAGAGTATAAATTGGTACAAATATGACAGTGTGAATAAAAAGCCTTAAAAATATGAGGGGTAAACAAAATGAATAAGAGATGATCCCTGATCATAGTAGTAGTTTCTATATTTTTTACTTTTATGTCCAGCTGTCTATAGGTGATTATTTTACTAGACACTGTTAATCATCCCCATTTATCCTTACCAAAGATTATTTTACTAGGTACTATTAATCATCACCATTTCTCCTAATTTCTAGGATATTAAAAGTTAATATCTAAAAACCAATATGTATAGATGTAATTTTTTTAAAGTTGGAAATATAAATAAATGTAGTTAGAAACACCTTACGTTAATCTTACCTAACTCATAGTAAAAATAAAACATCTTAAATAGAGATGGAAGAAAGTTATTGCTAGAGCACATTTGAAATTCTAAAAACATTTTTCATATATTTTGTTTCTTTATGAAAACAGGACTTTGTCCGAAACCACATAGGAATGAATTTTTATGGAGGTGGTTGATAGCATTTCGCAGTTATCGACAAAATGTATTTCATACCTAAACTTGCAACTGCTATGGTTTACTGCAGTGTAAAGCTGTGAAAATTTTTTTTTTTTTTTTTGGCCTTAATCCAAATGAAAAAGAAAACACATACAATGGTAAATCTTCAAGCAGCTGGCCAAACGCTGTATGAATACTTGCAGATTTCATCACTTGTCTAATTTGATTTCTTATGGCTTTGCTTAGTTTCCATGTACAGCTGCTTTAAATGAATATTCTTCTGTGGAAAGCTTAATATGGTCAAATAGTTTGGTTCAGCCATTTATTTTACATTATTATTTGCTTATTGTGTCCTGCTGTTTGGGAATTACTATATACATTAAATCCAACTTATTATAGTATAGGCCCTATTAGGAAGTATAACAATCATTTACCAAATGAAAACAGTAAAAATAAAAGTAAATCTAGTATGACTTATGTTTAGAAATAGGGTATTAGAAGAAAACTAGAATACTTAATTTATAAAGATAGTATATGATTCTGATGATTTATTTCCTTATTTTATAGTTATAGTGGTAGTTTGAACTTCTTATCTAGAAGAATTTTTGTATAAGAAATTAAGCTGTACAAATAGAAAATCAAATAGAGATATACAATGTTAGCTTTAATTTTTTATTAAATTTATTGCAGTGACATTGGTTAAAAAATTATGTAGGTTTCAAGTGTATAATTTGGTAATACATCATCTACACATTGCATTATGTGTTCACCACTCGAAGTTACATTGCCTTCTGTCGCCATATATTTGTCCCCCTTTACCCTTATCTACCTCCCATCCTTCCCTCTGGTAACCACTAAATTATTGTCTGTGTCTATGAGTTTTTGTTTGTCTTGTTTGTTTGTTGCTTTCAGTTTTATATCCCACATGTAAGTGAAATCATATGGTTCTCGACTTTTTCTGACTTATTTCACTTAGCATGATAATCTCAAGATCCATACATTTTGTCACAAATGGCAGTATTTCATCTCTTCTGATGGCTGAGTAATATTCCATTATATATATGTACCACATCTTCTTTATCCAGTCATCTATGGAAGGAAACTTTGGTTGTTTCCATGTCTTGGACATGAGTGAATAATGCTGTAGTGAACATTGAGGTGCATATAACTTTACAGATAAATGCTTTCAAATTTTGGGGGTAGATAACCAGAAGATGGATTGCTGAGTCATATGGTAATTCTTTTCTTAATTTTCTGAGGAACCTCAATACTATTTTCCAAAGTTAGCTTTATTTTTAAGCTTAAGAGCTATAAAAGCTTATCTTTTAAAATTTACTGTTTTACACTTTAAGATAGCCATCATTCTCATATTACTATAAAATGGTAGGTGCTAAGATTATTTTTACAAAACTGTAGTTTGAAAGATTCCTGTGAATGCAGGTAGAACACGAATGTGATGATATAGATCCTATAGAGAAGTCCATCTTCATGAGTCCCTTATTCCTTATATGAATATTTACTGTTTAACTCATATTTAAAAGTTTTTCATCTCAACTATCAAATAAATGACTGCTGCAGTTTCCCAGAGTGGCAACACAGTTCAAAACAAAACAAAACACATTTATACATACACACTCAGTCTTTAGTTTCGAGTAAATTAAAAAATAATACTGGTAATGGGTTTAAATCACAGTTTTGCCATTTATTAGTGATCTGGGACAAGTTTATTATATTGCCAAATATTAGAATCATCAAAGCAAAATTGTTCTTAGGTTTTCTTTCAAATTCACCCTTGAGATGAGATTTACTTCTCCATTAGCCAAGATAATCCCTTATGGGTGTTTCTTCTAAGATCTAAGAGGAGGAATTTAGTTCTGTCCTAAGGAA